GTCCACTAACAGCACGTGACGACGATCAAATAATTTCCCGCGTTATTTGCCAAGCGATTCGGGTTAACCGACCTAAGTAGGACGGGCCGACGTCCCTGGCTTTTATCAATTAGGTTGCACTTGCGTGAGATATAAATGCGGCACGGGCCCGCAAGGAATAGGCCGCTAGGGAAGTATAATACGACTCCGTGTCACCGTAATCGCGACTTCGAATCTATGATGTATTTGACGCATATAAAATTACTGGTCTATGCAACGGTTCTCGTGTTTCCTCATTAGATTGAGTTTTCAAGCGGTCGAGACACTTTCACGTTGCACCAGTACGTTAAACTCTCGAGCAAAATCTTTTACAAGGAAAAATACAATATTATAATTGCTCATCATGTGATTATATTTAAATCAGTTTAAATATAACGTGATAATATATGATAACGTGATTAATCCGTTTAATTTTTATCGAGCATTTTTTATGAAAAATTTTCTAGTATATTAATTAAAGGAATCGAAATTTTGCCACAATTCCTTCTGTACGAACGAATTTACAAAACGGAAATCAATTTTATCGCGAACTTTGCTTCCTGTTTCGGTGAAGTGTGGTTTCCGTGAATTCCACGGAAAAAGTATGTGGCTCAGCGTTATCTGAAGCGTTCGGATTAATTGGATTAATTTACATCGAACGGAGATCGATTTGACACGAGGAGGATGACCACCAGAAGAAAGAAGAAGTCGCAGGACGGATTCCTGAAAAAAGTCTCGAGCCTATTCAATCTAGATACGGTGAGTCGCAAACAAATCACGACTTATCATATTTCGATTATATTCTATTTGTAGGTATTGTATTTAAGTTTTTCGATTCTATTATCATCTGCAACAACTATTCTACTTTTGTTTAAAAATCTTTTATAAAATTTTAAATAATATAATAAATATTTTAAATAATATTAAAAAAAAAAAAAAATTTTTAAAAAAATAAAAAAAATTTTAAAAAATATTAAAAAAAAAAAAAAATTTTTAAAAAAATAAAAAAAATTTTAAAAAATATTAAAAAAAAAAAAAAATTTTTAAAAAAATAAAAAAAATTTTAAAAAATATTAAAAAAAAAAAAAAAAAAAAAGAAAGAGAAGACTTCGAAAATTTTCGTTCTCTTTATTAGCCTCGAATAGTTGACACCAATGTACGAGTTAGAATTGTAAATTCAAGATAAGTTATATAAGAGAGACTTTGAGTGAGAAAACACGATTGAAAAGTACATAATTATTGGATTCAATTAATAATGCTAATGGTAATAAAGAATCAGAACAATGATTCTTATGCATATGTGAATTTTAATTTTGATTTTGATGTCGAAAGATAATGAATTTAGTCATACACGTATTCAGAGATATCACGTGTTACTGTAATGAATAATAATTTATCGCATAAAATTATGCACGTTGTGAGCGTAACAAATACGACATCAATCTTGAATAAGAATTATTTACGAGTGATATATCTATGATGTGAATAAAAATTGATGCGATTCTAATCCATTTATTATAGATATATAATAGATATACGATAGACCGTGAAATTAAACTGTATATTTCTTTCAGCTGATATAATTATGTTTTCTTCGTGCATATAGTCTTCGATTCGTTTCGAACGTTTATTCTATTATCACATGAAATTGGATATATTTTCATTTTCGTATTTTCATCTTTACACGTAGGATTCATTCGTGTGATTTCCATGAATGATTTAAAATGTCTCGATACTTTTATTACATATCTTTTACCTTACAATTTTTCTGTAAGGAAAATCAATATTTTCCACATTTTTTCGTTATTAACTTAAGGAAAAGAGCTACTAAACGATTCACGTATAATACCATTGTCGATAACGAGCATTATACTCTGAATGCACGACTTTTTCTAACATCGTATCTGCTCTTTTCACGGTAGAAAACGAATCGTCGAGAGGAAAGAAAGGAAAAGGCGAGAAAGTGGGGAAAAAGGAAACTCAAGGATAGAAAATGGGAGGGAAAGGTTGCGAAGTTAGAGGAATTGTGAGGGAATTGCCGTTGAAAACCGTTGGACCATTTTTCTCCTTGATTTCTCGAACGTTTCATACGATAAGGAAACGTGGAATAACTTCCAGAGGTCTCGAGACTGTTTGGTATAAAGAGAAGAGAAACGAGGATTCAGAGGAGAAACCATAGACCGTAAATAACTTCGTTGCACCATTTCGTTTTCACTGAATGGTACAGACAGTTCAAAGTATACGTTTTATTTTATTGGAAAATTCTTAAAAAAAAATCTTCATTTATATCGAACTTCTATTTAACTTTGAACTTGAAGAATTATACATATTTTATA